AACAGTAATATACACACAGTAGAAGTGCTTGACCATTGTTCCCCACATTGAACAGTAATATACACACAGAAGTGCTTGACCATTGGTCCCCACATTGAACAGTAATATACACACAGTAGAAGTGCTTGACCATTGGTCCCCACATTGAACAGTAATATACACACAGTAGAAGTGCTTGACCATTGTTCCCCACATTGAACAGTAATATATACACAGTAGAAGTGCTTGACCATTGTTCCCCACATTGAACAGTAATATACACACAGTAGAAGTGCTTGACCATTGTTCCCCACATTGAACAGTAATATACACCCAGTAGAAGTGCTTGACCATTGTCCCCACATTGAACAGTAATATACACACAGTGGTAGTGCTTGACCATTGTTCCCCACATTGAACACTAATATACACACAGTAGAAGTGCTTGACCATTGGTCCCCACATTGAACAGTAATATACACACAGTGGAAGTGCTTGACCATTGGTCCCCACATTGAACAGTAATATACACACAGTAGAAGTGCTTGACCATTGGTCCCCACATTGAACAGTAATATACACACAGTGGAAGTGCTTGACCATTGTTCCCCTCTTTGAACAGTAATATACACACAGTAGAAGTGCTTGACCATTGTTCCCCACATTGAACAGTAATATACACACAGTGGAAGTGCTTGACCATTGTTCCCCACATTGAACAGTAATATACACACATGAGAAGGGCTTGACTATTGTTCCCCACATTGATCAGTAATATACACACAGTAGAAGTGCTTTGACTATTGTTCCCCACATTGAACAGTAATATACACACAGTGGAGTGTGCTTGACCATTGTCCCCACATTGAACAGTAATATACACACAGTGGAAGTGCTTGACCATTGTTCCCCACATTGAACAGTAATATACATACAGTTGCTTGACCATTGTTCCCAACATTGAACAGTAATATACACACAGTGGAAGTGCTTTGACGATTGTTCCCCACATTGAACAGTAATATACACACAATAGGAGTGCTTGACCATTGTCCCCACATTGAACAGTAATATACACACAGTGGAAGTGCTTGACCATTGTTCCCCACATTGAACAGTGATATACACACAGTGGAAATGCTTGACCATTGTTCCCCACATTGAACAGTAATATACACGATGGTAGTGCTTGACCATTGTTCCCCACATTGAACAGTAATATACACACAGCGGAATTGCTTGACCATCTTTCCCCACATTGAACAGTAATATACACACGGTAGAAGTGCTTGACTATTGTTCCCCACATTGAACAGTAATATACACACAGTAGAAGTGCTTGACCATTGTTCCCCACATTGAACAGTAATATACACACAGTGGAAGTGCTTGACCATTGTTCCCCACAGTAATATACACACATATTGTGCTTGAATTGTTCAGAACAGTAATATACACACAGTGGAAGTTGACCATCTTTCCCCACATTGAACAGTAATATACACACAGTGGAAGTGCTTTGACGATTGTTCCCCACATTGAACAGTAATATACACACAATAGGAGTGCTTGACCATTGTCCCCACATTGAACAGTAATATACACACAGTGGAAGTGCTTGACCATTGTTCCCCACATTGAACAGTAATATACACACAGTGGAAGTGCTTGACCATTGTTCCCCACATTGAACAGTAATAAACACACAGTAGAAGTGCTTGACCATTGTTCCCCACATTGAACAGTAATATACACACAGTAGAAGTGCTTGACCATTGTTCCCCACATTGAACAGTAATATACACACAGAGGAGTGCTTGACCATTGGTCCCCACATTGAACAGTAATATACACACAGTAGAAGTGCTTGACCATTGTTCCCCACATTGAACAGTAATATACACACAGTAGAAGTGCTTGACCATTGTTCCCCACATTGAACAGTAATATATACACAGTAGAAGTGCTTGACCATTGTTCCCCACATTGAACAGTAATATACACACAGTAGAAGTGCTTGACCATTGTTCCCCACATTGAACAGTAATATACACACAGTAGAAGTGCTTGACCATTGTTCCCCACATTGAACAGTAATATACACACAGTAGAAGTGCTTGACCATTGTTCCCCACATTGAACAGTAATATACACACAGTGGAAGTGCTTGACCATTGGTTCCCCACATTGAACAGTAATATACACACAGTAGAAGTGCTTGACCATTGGTCCCCACATTGAACAGTAATATACACACAGTGGAAGTGCTTGACCATTGTTCCGCTTTGAACAGTAATATACACACAGTAGAAGTGCTTGACCATTGTTCCCCACATTGAACAGTAATATACACACAGTGGAAGTGCTTGACCATTGTTCCCCACATTGAACAGTAATATACACACAGTGGAAGTGCTTTGACGATTGTTCCCCACATTGAACAGTAATATACACACAATAGGAGTGCTTGACCATTGTCCCCACATTGAACAGTAATATACACACAGTGGAAGTGCTTGACTGTTGTTCCCCACATTGAACAGTAATATACACACAGTGGAAGTGCTTGACCATTGTTCCCCACATTGAACAGTAATATACACACAGTAGAAGTGCTTGACCATCTTTCCCCACATTGAACAGTAATATACACACAGTAGAAGTGCTTGACCATTGTTCCCCACATTGAACAGTAATATACACACAGTAGAAGTGCTTGACCATTGGTCCCCACATTGAACAGTAATATACACACAGTAGAAGTGCTTGACCATTGGTCCCCACATTGAACAGTAATATACACACAGTAGAAGTGCTTGACCATTGTTCCCCACATTGAACAGTAATATACACACAGTAGAAGTGCTTGACCATTGTTCCCCACATTGAACAGTAATATACACACAGTGGAAGTGCTTGACCATTGGTCCCCACATTGAACAGTAATATACACACAGTAGAAGTGCTTGACCATTGGTCCCCACATTGAACAGTAATATACACACAGTGGAAGTGCTTGACCATTGTTCCGCTCTTTGAACAGTAATATACACACAGTAGAAGTGCTTGACCATTGTTCCCCACATTGAACAGTAATATACACACAGTGGAAGTGCTTGACCATTGTTCCCCTCATTGAACAGTAATATACACACAGTGGAAGTGCTTTGACGATTGTTCCCCACATTGAACAGTAATATACACACAATAGGAGTGCTTGACCATTGTCCCCACATTGAACAGTAATATACACACAGTGGAAGTGCTTGACTGTTGTTCCCCACATTGAACAGTTATATACACACAGTGGAAGTGCTTGACCATTGTTCCCCACATTGAACAGTAATATACACACAGTAGAAGTGCTTGACCATCTTTCCCCACATTGAACAGTAATATACACACAGTAGAAGTGCTTGACCATTGTTCCCCACATTGAACAGTAATATACACACAGTAGAAGTGCTTGACCATTGGTCCCCACATTGAACAGTAATATACACACAGTAGAAGTGCTTGACCATTGTTCCCCACATTGAACAGTAATATATACACACAGTAGAAGTGCTTGACCATTGGTCCCCACATTGAACAGTAATATACTACAGTAGAGGTGCTTGACCATTGTTCCCCACATTGAACAGTAATATACACACAGTAGAAGTGCTTGACCATTGTTCCCCACATTGAACAGTAATATACACACAGTGGAAGTGCTTGACCATTGGTCCCCACATTGAACAGTAATATACACACAGTAGAAGTGCTTGACCATTGGTCCCCACATTGAACAGTAATATACACACAGTGGAAGTGCTTGACCATTGTTCCGCTCTTTGAACAGTAATATACACACAGTAGAAGTGCTTGACCATTGTTCCCCACATTGAACAGTAATATACACACAGTGGAAGTGCTTGACCATTGTTCCCCTCATTGAACAGTAATATACACACAGTGGAAGTGCTTTGACGATTGTTCCCCACATTGAACAGTAATATACACACAATAGGAGTGCTTGACCATTGTCCCCACATTGAACAGTAATATACACACAGTGGAAGTGCTTGACTGTTGTTCCCCACATTGAACAGTTATATACACACAGTGGAAGTGCTTGACCATTGTTCCCCACATTGAACAGTAATATACACACAGTAGAAGTGCTTGACCATCTTTCCCCACATTGAACAGTAATATACACACAGTAGAAGTGCTTGACCATTGTTCCCCACATTGAACAGTAATATACACACAGTAGAAGTGCTTGACCATTGGTCCCCACATTGAACAGTAATATACACACAGTAGAAGTGCTTGACCATTGTTCCCCACATTGAACAGTAATATATACACAGTAGAAATGCTTGACCATTGGTCCCCACATTGAACAGTAATATACATACAGTAGAGGTGCTTGACCATTGTTCCCCACATTGAACAGTAATATACACACATTAGAAGTGCTTGACCATTGTTCCCCACATTGAACAGTAATATACACACAGTGGAAGTGCTTGACCATTGGTCCCCACATTGAACAGTAATATACACACAGTAGAAGTGCTTGACCATTGTTCCCCACATTGAACAGTAATATACACACAGTAGAAGTGCTTGGCCATTGGTCCCCACATTGAACAGTAATATACACACAGTAGAAGGGCTTGACCATTGGTCCCCACATTGAACAGTAATATACACACAGTAGAAGTGTCATTGATCTGCATTATACATGCATAATATGTAGTTCCATGTTCAGGGGCAAAGCACAGCAAGAATCATACATGGATTTTAGTGTGTTTATCATTCTCACAATGACAAAATCTGTTGTGAAGCTTTGATGAAGAAAAAAGGATAATCAGCTTGATGTAATACTAATCACCTGTGTTTTCGTTTTTGGAAAATAAATTTGATATAAATATCAAATATAAATGTCTTTACTCATAACTTTTTAATTTCTTCCTATGAAAGTGTAATTCTTACCTTGAAACTATCCCATAATCTTCGACTTTCTCAAGGAGCCTGCCTCCTTCAACTACTACGGCCCGTACCTGGCACGACCAGATGTTCGTAGAGCGATACATGTAGGTAACCTTACCTACAATGATGGCAATGCTGTGGAGAAGCATCTCATGAATGATGTCATGCAGTCAGTCAAGCCATGGATAGCAACACTGATGGATAACTATAAGGTTGGTGTTTTGTTCCCTTACAGTCTAGGATCTGCTAGGGATTAGGCTAAGAGTATATATTGTTCATCGTCTGTCGTCAGTGTGAATAATATTGCTTTTTCATCATTTTCTTACTGCAATATGAAGGAGTTCGGCCATGTGTATTCTTGACCTTCCAAATATCTGGAAGCAGTCTTACAATAAGTTAACCAGACAACTTTCTGGTCAGCTGATCTGACTGGTTTGATGTTGTGTAATCGGAGCGTGGTGGCCGAGCTGGCTAAGGTGCCAGGGTTGTGATCCAGCAAGCTTGAGTTCCCGGGATCGAGCCCAGCTGTGACCGGGTGTAAATACCTTGGAGTCAACTTTGTGTGCAGACTCTTTCAGTGTTGTCACTGTTGTACAGTACACAAACCTGTGCACTTAAAAGAACCCACAAATCTGTTGGTAAATGGTCAGATGGTGGCCACATGAACACATCCAAACACCTCGTTGCGGGTACAGCACCGTGCATTAAACTTGGACAAAGTACTGTGACTATGTGTCCCAGTCCACCCAGCTGTGAATGGGTACCTTGTTATGATAGGGGTCTTGGGTCCAAGTGAGGGTTCCGGTGAAACCCTTTATCTAACTGGCGTGCTGGTCTGCTTGGGGGAATTAACTCAGCAAAGAGTCCGAAGTCACAAGAAGCTAATCACAATTTTATTTACAAGATTGGAATAACATGGGGTGGCCTCTGGGCTGAGGGCTAGAGCTGACCTGTGTTGGGAGTCTAAACCCTACTGACAAAAATTTGGTTTTCAAACTATTTATCTACAATTAAAACAATAAAGAGATTACGATTGGTTGACTGAAAAAATGGGTGTGCCCTACATTAACCAATGAAATACAGAATATACAAAATGGGTGTGCCCTACATTAACCAATGAAATACAGAATATACAAAATGGGGTGTGCCCTACATTAACCAATGAAATACAGAATATACAAAATGGGGTGTGTCCTACATTAACCAATGAAATACAGAATATACAAAATGGGGTGTGCCCTACATTAACCAATGAAATACAGAATATACAAAATGGGGTGTGTCCTACATTAACCAATGAAATACAGAATATACAAAATGGGGTGTGTCCTACATTAACCAATGAAATACAAAATGGGTTGTGCCCTAGAATATACAAAATGGGTGTGTGTCCTACATTAACCAATGAAATACAGAATATACAAAATGGGTGTGTGCCCTACATTAACCAATGAAATACAGAATATACAAAATGGGTGTGTCCCCCTACATTAACCAATGAAATACAGAATATACAAAATGGGGTGTGCCCTACATTAACCAATGAAATACAGAATATACAAAATGGGGTGTGTCCTACATTAACCAATGAAATACAGAATATACAAAATGGGGTGTGCCCTACATTAACCAATGAAATACAGAATATACAAAATGGGTGTGTCCTACATTAACCAATGAAATACAGAATATACAAAATGGGGTGTGTCCTACATTAACCAATGAAATACAGAATATACAAGATGGGTGTGTGTCCTACATTAACCAATGAAATACAGAATATACAAAATGGGTGTGTGCCCTACATTAACCAATGAAATACAGAATATACAAAATGGGGTGTGTGCCCTACATTAACCAATGAAATACAGAATATACAAAATGGGGTGTGCCCTACATTAACCAATGAAATACAGAATATACAAGATGGGTGTGTGTGCCTACATTAACCAATGAAATACAGAATATACAAAGATGGGTGTGTGTCCCTACATTAACCAATGAAATACAGAATATACAAAATGGGTGTGTACATTAACCCTACATTAACCAATGAAATACAGAATATACAAAATGGGTGTGTGCCCTACATTAACCAATGAAATACAGAATATACAAAATGGGGTGTGCCCTACATTAACCAATGAAATACAGAATATACTAAATGGGGTGTGCCCTACATTAACCAATGAGATACAGAATATACAAGATGGGGTGTGCCCTACATTAACCAATGAAATACAGAATATACAAAATGGGGGTGTGCCCTACATTAACCAATGAAATACAGAATATACAAAATGGGGGTTGTGCCCTACATTAACCAATGAAATACAGAATATACAAAATGGGGTGTGTCCTACATTAACCAATGAAATACAGAATATACAAAATGGGGGTGTGTCCTACATTAACCAATGAAATACAGAATATACAAGATGGGGTGTGTCCTACAGAAACAACTTCAATGACCAGACAGGGGGGGTACTTAATCCTGTTAATCCTATTTCAACCGGCACTAATCTCGTTGGCACTGTTACTGGATGCTTGGATGCTTACCCTTGGCTAGATCTTAACGAGCCTACTTTGATGTGTCAATTATAGGAGCTTGGAACACAATAGATGCGTTTATTCTGGGCCATGTCTTAATGACCCTAAATTGGTGTTTGTTTAAAGTTATTGAAATATAGATGTTAGAGTTGTGACGATTAATCGATACGCAAATAATCGCGATTCTAGAGCTGCACGATACGATATATCGATGCGATTCTCGTGTATCAATTCAATACGATACGTATAAACCTAAAAGGTAACCCTAAAACTTTACCTGAAAAAATGTAGCCAATAAATTCAAAATGATAAACAAGTCGTCAGCGACATGGGGCCGGCCATGTTCGAAGTTGCTATGCAGCGCCAACTCTCACGGTATTAACAAGCCAAGAAAATGGCGATGGTGTGGAAGCTGTGACTGAGCTGTCACCTTCAGACAAGTGTGGAAACACTTCCTTATTTCTAAAGACAAAGGTAAAGTGTACTGTTCGCTGTGTGGGACAATTTCTGGCTATAATGCCAACACGACAAATATGCTTACACATTTGAAGAATCACCATCCGAACATCGCAACAGATGGCGATCAAAGGCACAAGACCTGCTGACAACTGAGTCGTGAACTAACAAGTGATACGTGATACGCATCGTATCGCATGTATCGGACTACTAGTATCGTGATACGTATGGTATCGTGGCATAGGCGTATCGTCACAACTCTAATAGATGATGACATGTTTACTTTATCAAAACAGTTTATTAATCCGTCTAGACATAACTTTGTCTTACTGAAAGGTTTGTCTAACAGCTTGAGTCCTTGATACCTTAGGCTAGGATTTTATCTTGAACATCTATGAAATTGTGCAGCCGTAATTTACACCTTTTTCAATAGTAGGTTTGTGAGATGAGTTTTGCTACTTTTGACTGGAGTCTTCCTCTAAGCTATTACTGATACATGATGAAGCTAATATTCTATATTAATATTTTCCTAATATCTGAATCCTAATATATCGCTTGTACTGGTTATAATTAATAATGAATTTTGTATGAATAATTATTCCATGATAACCTCGTAAGGATGGGAAAGCCACATTAACTCTGTACGTCCAGTGTCTGCAAGAGTTGTATGTTCCCCAGGGAGTTGAGATGGATAATACGATGTGCCGTTTGAGATTGACATCTAATGATTGAGACAAAAACAACTTGTGAAGCGCCTTAGAGTTATCTAGAAGTAGTTCAAATAGGGTGCTATAGAAATGTGGCATATAATATACTAAGCAGCAAAAGAAACGTTAGTTTGGAATTTTCATTGAATGTTTTGATTGTATATTTTTGACAACATCAACTTTACCTGAGCAAAGACATTCCTTCCCAAACTCAGAATTGAACTCAGGAAATGGTCTCCATGATGCAACCTGACCTCGGAGATGGTATGGTGTTCTCCATGTTTTTCATGCAACTCATGCTGCACGTGCTGTTCACAAGGACCAGCCCTGTAAAATGCACCCCCAACCTGGTTGAAACATTCACATTACAACATCAGCAGGATGCCACGACTCATGACAGCTCAGAGGAACCAGGCGCTAGGAAGACTTGAAGCTGGCCACACTCCACAAGCTGTTGCCAATCACTGCCAGGTCAAAGTTGGGACCATCTACAGGCTGCAGCAACGTTTCTGGGCCACCAACACCACAAATGATCACCCCCCTACTGGCAGACCAAGGGTTACCTCAAGATGACAAGACCATGTTGTGCGACAGCATGTACAGAATCCCCTTCATGCAGGCAGCCGAAACAGCACGCCAGACAGTGGGAACACACGGAAGACCAATCAGTACCGATACAGTACACCGAAGTCTTAACAGCGGGAACCTCCATTGCCGTAGACCTTACCATGGGCCTATCCTCACCCCTCGTCATCGGGGTGAACGTCTACAGTTTGCCCTGCAACACCAAAACTGGTGATACAGGCAATGGAGAACTGTTCTGTTCACAGATCAGAGTCAGTACTGCGTATCAACTGCAGATGGCAGAACAAGAGTATGGCGATGACGTGTTTTCAGCGTTACTCAGACCAAAGAGACTCATGGGGAGGTGCAATCATCATGGTATGGGGTGGATAGGCCTGAACCAGAGAGTGGGTCCTGTGGTGTTCCAGAACCTTGGTCCAGGGGGGAGGAGGCGGCATCACAGTGGTGCGCTACATTGACCAAGCTCTCAGACCGCACACCATACCACATTTTGCACGTCACCGGAACAACATTTTGCAGCATGATAACGCCTGGGCCCATACTGCTAGAGCTACACGGGACTTCCTACAGCAGAACGGTGTCAACATTATGCAGTGGCCAGCCCTTTAAACCTAATTGAACATCTTTTTGATGAAATTCAGAGGAGACTGAATAATGTCATACCAAGGCCGAACACAGCCGATATATTGTGCCAGGCTTTTCTGAGAGTGTGATTTCAGGTGCCAGTTGGCTTCATCAATCGATTGGGGCACTCGATTGCTGCAGTTATTGCCGCCGTAGTCGTCACAGTAGATACTAAGTTATTCATTGATATGTCAAGATATTGTACACACAAAAAAGTTTTTGATGCACTTATTATGTCAATTTCTGTAATGATTTGATTACAGCGCCTATCTAGTTTTGAATTCATACTGATGGGTTTTTTTTGCTGCTGAGTATATAATAATCATGTCTGAATTGAAATGTTGTGTCATGCTGAGAGTTCATCTTTCTGATGTAAGTCTGATGCTATTACACACTGGAGGCAGGAAACATTCTACAGACATGGACATTTGCTCAGGGATCAGTAATTGTATGGGAATGTGTTTCAGTGAATTGTAAACCAACTTGATGACAGTGCAGGGTAACCTCAACTCATCTGGGTATCAGCACGATATCATGGAGACAGCAGTTACCTCCCATTTCACTAGTGTACATTGGCCACCAGACATGTCTTCGTAGATGATTATGTTTGCCCTCACAGATCATGTGCTGTTCTGGAATTCGTTTGTCAGAATCCATTCTTTGCGTAGCAACAAGTTCAGACTTTATAATCAAATACACCTGTGGATAAGTGTAGGCTGTCACCTTTGATATAAAGAATGGTCAGAATGGGCTAGAATAACTCATCTCAACATCTCAAGTTAACAAGAACAGCATCTGATTTGCAGAATGGTGAGGTATATTCATGTGCAGGATGGTTACACCAAGTATTGATGATAACTGCGTCTCTGGTTGTACTAACTTTGGTTTAAAATGCTCTTGATATAGACTGGTGAGAACCAGTTCAGTATGGTTTTGGTGATGATAGTAACTTATGCTTTGTTTTTTGTAAATACAACATCTTGCAGCGTAATGGCAGCAATATAGAGTAAATGTCATTGATTCTGCATGATGGATGACTGGTAAACTCAAATAGTTACTATCTCAAATGCATTTGGCAATAGACATCAGGTTAATTGATTAGCTCATGGAAATTTTGGTGGTCCTTGATACTTTTCCAGGTGTATGTGTGCTAAATCCTGCCATGTAGTTATCAGTGACACCAATCTGTGACCAGGTGCTCATCTACAACGGACAACTGGACATCATAATTGCTGTTCCACTGACAGAGGCTTGGCTCCAGACTGTCCCATGGAAAGGTCTTGAAGAATACAAGAAGGCACCAAAACTCATCTGGAAGGTTAACCCCAATGATACAGAAGTGGCAGGATATGTGCGACAAGTGGGGAACTTTTATCAGGTACTACACTTCACAATATGTTCACAATTATCACTTGGTATTATTAGGTAGAGTCATATATGATTCAGTCTCTCATGTAATCTGTCTGCGGTTCATCCTCCAATCCAGTCTGTCTGTGGTTCATCCTCCCATCCAATGTGTCTGTTCATCTTCCCGTCCAGTCTGTCTGTGGTTCATCCTCCCATCCCATCTGTCTGTGGTTCATCCTCCCATCCAATGTGTCTGTTCATCCTCCCAACCAGTCTGTCTGTGGTTCATCCTCCCATCCAGTCTGTTTGTGGTTCATCCTCCCATCCAGTCTGTCTGTGGTTCATCCTCCCATCCAGTCTGTGTGTGGTTCATCCTCCCATCCAGTCTGTTTGTGGTTCATCCTTCCTTCAAGTCTGTCTGTGGTTCATCCTCCCGTCCAGTCTGTCTGTGGTTCATCCTCCCGTCCAGTCTGTCTGTGGTTCATCCTCCCATCCAGTCTGTCTGTGGTTCATCCTCCCATCCAGTCTGTCTGTGGTTCATCCTCCCGTCCCGTCTGTCTGTGGTTCATCCTCCCTACCTGTCTGTGTGTGGTTCATCCTCCCTACCAATCTATCTGTGGTTCATCCTCCCATCCAGTCTGTGTGTGGTTCACCCCTATCCACTCTTTCTGTGGTTCATCCTCACATCCAATGTGTCTGTTCATCCTCTCATCCAGTCTGTCTGTGGTTCATCCTCCCATCCAGTCTGTCTGTGGTTGATCCTCCCGTCCAGTCTGTCTGTGGTTCATCCTCCCATCCAGTCTGTCTGTGGTTCATCCTTCTGTCCCGTCTGTGTGTGGTTCATCCTCCCATCCAGTCTGTCTGTGGTTCATCCTCCCATCCAGTCTGTCTGTGGTTCATCCTCCCGTCCCGTCTGTGTGTGGTTCATCCTCCCATCCAGTCTGTGTGTGGTTCATCCTCCCATCCAGTCTGTCTGTGGTTCATCCTCCCGTCCAGTCTGTCTGTGGTTCATCCTCCCGTCCAGTCTGTGTGTGGTTCATCCTCCCATCCAGTCTGTCTGTGGTTCATCCTCCCGTCCAGTCTGTGTGTGGTTCATCCTCCCATCCAGTCTGTCTGTGTATCATCCTCCCATCCAGTCTGTCTGTGTATCATCCTCCCATCCAGTCTGTGTGTGGTTCATCCTCCCATCCAGTCTGTCTGTGGTTCATCCTCCAATCCAGTCTGTCTGTGGTTCATCCTCCCATCCAGTCTGTCTGTGGTTCATCCTCCCTACCAGTCTGTCTGTGGTTCATCCTCCCGTCCAGTCTGTCTGTGGTTCATCCTCCCATCCAGTCTGTCTGTGGTTCATCCTCCCATCCAGTCTGTCTGTGGTTCATCCTCCCTACCAGTCTGTGTGTGGTTCATCCTCCCATCCAGTCTGTCTGTGTATCATCCTCCCATCCAGTCTGTCTGTGGTTCATCCTCCCTACCTGTCTGTGTGTGGTTCATCCTCCCTACCAGTCTGTCTGTGGTTCATCCTCCCGTCCAGTCTGTCTGTGGTTCATCCTCCCATCCCGTCTGTCTGTGGTTCATCCTCCCTACCAGTCTGTGTGTAGTTCATCCTCCCTACCAGTCTGTTTATGGTTCATCCTCCCATCCAGTCTGTCTGTGGTTCATCCTCCCATCCAGTCTGTGTGTGGTTCATCCTCCCGTCCAGTCTGTCTGTGGTTCATCCTCCCATCCAATGTGTCTGTTCATCCTCCCAACCAGTCTGTCTGTGGTTCATCCTCCCATCCAGTCTGTCTGTGGTTCATCCTCCCATCCAGTCTGTCTGTGGTTCATCCTCCCATCCAGTCTGTCTGTGGTTCATCCTCCCGTCCCGTCTGTCTGTGGTTCATCCTCCCTACCTGTCTGTGTGTGGTTCATCCTCCCTACCAATCTATCTGTGTTCATCCTCCCATCCAGTCTGTGTGTGGTTCACCCCTATCCACTCTTTCTGTGGTTCATCCTCCCATCCAGTCTGTCTGTGGTTCATCCTCCCATCCAGTCTGTCTTTGGTTTATCCTCCCGTCCAGTCTGTCTGTGGTTCATCCTCCCGTCCCGTCTGTCTGTGGTTCATCCTCCCGTCCCGTCTGTCTGTGGTTCATCCTCCCATCCAGTCTGTCTGTGGTTCATCCTCCCGTCCCGTCTGTCTGTGGTTCATCCTCCCTACCAGTTTGTGTGTGGTTCATCCTCCCATCCAGTCTGTGTGTGGTTCATCCTCCCATCCAGTCTGTCTGTGGTTCATCCTCCCATCCAGTCTGTTTGTGGTTCATCCTCCCTACCTGTCTGTGTGTGGTTCATCCTCCCTACCAGTCTGTGTGTGGTTCATCCTCCCTACCAGTCTGTGTGTGGTTCATCCTCCCTACCAGTCTGTCTGTGGTTCATCCTCCCATCCAGTCTGTCTGTGGTTCATCCTCCCTACCAGTCTGTCTGTGGTTCATCCTCCCGTCCCGTCTGTTTGTGGTTCATCCTCCCATCCAGTCTGTCTGTGGTTCATCCTCCCATCCCGTCTGTCTGTGGTTCATCCTCCCTACCAGTCTGTCTGTGGTTCATCCTCCCTACCAGTCTGTTTGTGGTTCATCCTCCCGTCCAGTCTGTCTGTGGTTCATCCTCCCATCCAGTCTGTGTGTGGTTCATCCTCCCATCCAGTCTGTCTGTGGTTCATCCTCCCATCCCGTCTGTCTGTGGTTCATCCTCCCATCCAGTCTGTCTGTGGTTCATCCTCCAATCCAGTCTGTCTGTGGTTCATCCTCCCATCCAGTCTGTCTGTGGTTCATCCTCCCATCCCGTCTGTCTGTGGTTCATCCTCCCTACCAGTCTGTCTGTGGTTCATCCTCCCATCCAGTCTGTGTGTGGTTCATGCACCCTACCAGTCTGTCTGTGGTTCATCCTCCCGTCCAGTCTGTCTGTGGTTCATCCTCCCATCCAGTCTGTGTGTGGTTCATCCTCCCTACCAGTCTGTTTGTGGTTCATCCTCCCGTCCAGTCTGTGTGTGGTTCATCCTCCCATCCAGTCTGTCTGTGGTTCATCCTCCCATCCCGTCTGTCTGTGGTTCATCCTCCCATCCAGTCTGTGTGTGGTTCATCCTCCCATCCAGTCTGTCTGTGGTTCATCCTCCGTACCAGTCTGTCTGTGGTTCATCCTCCCTACCAGTCTGTTTGTGGTTCACCCTCCCTACCAGTCTGTCTGTGGTTCATCCTCCCTACCAGTCTGTCTGTGGTTCATCCTCCCGTCCAGTCTGTCTGTGGTTCATCCTCCCATCCCGTCTGTCTGTGGTTCATCCTCCCATCCAGTCTGTTTGTGGTTCATCCTCCCGTCCAGTCTGTCTGTGGTTCATGCTCCCATCCAGTCTGTTTGTGGTTCATCCTCCCATCCAGTCTGTCTGTGGTTCATCCTCCCATCCAGTCTGTCTGTGGTTCATCCTCCCATTCAGTCTGCAATCTGTGTGTGGTTCATCGTCCCATCCAGTTTGTCTGTGGTTCATCCTCCCATTCAGTCTGCAGTCTGTGTGTGGTTCATCGTCCCATCCAGTCTGTCTGTGGTTCATCCTCCTTTCCTCCCTCCCTGATAGTGAGGCAGACACCGATGTGCTACTGGTGATAGTGAGTCAGACACTGATCTACTACTGTGATAGTGAGTCAGACACTGGTGTGCTACTGGTGATAGTGAGTCAGACACTGATGTGCTACTGGTGATAGTGAGTAAAGACACTGATGTACTACTGGTGATAGTGAGTCAGACACTGGTGTGCTACTTGTGATAGTGAGTCAGACACTGATGTGCTACTGGTGATAGTGAGTCAGACACTGGTGTGCTACTGTGATAGTGAGTCAGACACTGATGTGCTACTCTGATGGTGAGTCAGACACTGATGTGCTACTCTGATAGTGAGTCAGACACTGATGTGCTACTGGTGATAGTGAGTCAGACACTGGTGTGCTACTGGTGATAGTGAGTCAGACATTGATGTGCTACTGGTGATAGTGAGTCAGACACTGATGTGCTACTGGTGATAGTGAGTCAGACACTGATGTGCTACTGGTGATAGTGAGTCAGACACTGATGTGCTACTCTGATAGTGAGTCAGACACTGATGTGCTACTCTGATAGTGAGTCAGACACTGATGTGCTACTGGTGATAGTGAGTCAGACACTGGTGTGCTACTGTGATAGTGAGTCAGACACTGATGTGCTACTATAATAGTGAGTCAGACACTGATGTGCTACTGGTGATAGTGAGTCAGACACTGATGTGCTACTGGTGATAGTGAGTCAGACACCGATGTGCTACTGTGATAGTGAGTCAGACACTGATGTGCTACTGGTGATAGTGAGTCAGACACTGATGTGCTACTGGTGATAGTGAGTCAGACACCGATGTGCTACTATAATAGTGAGTCAGACACTGATGTGCTACTGTGATAGTGAGTCAGACACTGATGTGCTACTCTGATAGTGAGTCAGACACTGATGTGCTACTATAATAGTGAGTCAGACACTGATGTGCTACTGGTGATAGTGAGTCAGACACCGATGTGCTACTGTGATAGTGAGTCAGACACTGATGTGCTACTCTGATAGTGAGTCAGACACTGATGTGCTACTGGTGATAGTGAGTCAGACACCGATGTGCTACTATAATAGTGAGTCAGACACTGATGTGCTACTGGTGATAGTGAGTCAGACACTGATGTGCTACTGGTGATAGTGAGTCAGACACCGATGTGCTTTTGGTGATAGTGAGTCAGACACCGATGTGCTACTGTTGCAGGTGATAGTGAGGGGAGCTGGCCATATACTGCCCTATGACCAGCCTGTTCGTGGCTTCGACATGATCCAGAGGTTTATTGAAGGACGCTAGATGAACACAGCAAAACTCCTAAGGTCTTCTCGCTGCTGATGCAACTCCACATTTGTATTTTTATGGTTTAATTATGCATATTATCAGTGTTGATGAAATATCTTTAAGGTCTTTTTGAAGTTATATATCATAATTTGTGTCCATACTTTCAGGGCATATATATTTTGGGAAATATATGTACATATGATATTATTGTTTGTATATTTTGATGACATGAGTAATTTTGGAAATAAAGTTTATTTGTCAATTTTATCATTGTTTAGTGTTTCACAGAGCACACAGATGAAACACGCAAATGATGATGACTGTAGGCAGTCCTTATGGCCTCTCTGTGAAACTACCAACCAGACAACTTCTTCAAACCAGTGTTTGAGGTTCATGTTGAGTACATTATCTAGTCTTGCAATATTTTGCAGCACTTGGAGAAAGTGGGTATGAGGAAGATATAATCTTTGTACATATTTTTTTAGATGATAAATATTGCATACAAACAGACCTACGAGATGAGTAAAGGTAGGTCTCGTCATGACATTATTTTTTTTAACAAAATATAGTTTAATTTTAAGACATTTTCAGCAAATACGCCATCATTTAGTTTACTGATTCCACTGACTTATAGAAGAATGGAGGAAAATAGTATAAATATTTTAATAAAATTTACAGAACCTCATAGATTTGTAAATGCCAATAACAAACCAGTATCCTGTGGTATTGCTGTACACAGTAATGTTTTGTATTGTTTCACTCTGTGCTCTCTTGGAAAAACACTCCAACATGTATTCACAAGGACATGTGCTGTTGATAACTTCTACACTCCACTATGATGTGCCAAGAATGTTGTTATTCCCCGCCACGCGTTTAGCACAAAGCGGGGGATATAGTCTTAAGAACCGTTAACTCCATTCTTTTCATATTTCGTATAAGAAAGGTCCAAGTCATTTTTGGTGACTTTGACCTTCATTTCAAGGTCAAAGGGGACTTTAACCTTTTACATGCATGTTAAGCTATCTCAAGAACCGTTCACTGGATTTTCTTCATATTCAATACAAATCCCTTTATCATGGGAAGACGTTCACATAATTTTCTAGGTCATGCCGACAGTTTGAAGATTTCAGCATGTTGAATTGCATGTTATAGTATGACCAGAAATTATTGAGAATTTTTAGGAATTTGTTTAATTGGATTTCTAGTATAAACAACCTTGACCAGCTATCAAGTGTTTGGTTTCATTCAAGAGAGACAACTCCGTTAATCCTTTTTCATTAATTTGTGAAAAGTTATCCCCATTTGTTTACTTGCTAGCAGACATCAGTGATCCTCAGTATGGATGATTTAGAGAAGAGGAAGTTGATTTTAGAGTATTATAACAAGGACATCAGATCAGCTAAAGTGATTTCAAGTAGAACAGGCATCCCTTTGTCCACTGTTTATCGTGTTTTGAAAAATATTGCAAATGGATATGGCATTGAGCACCAGGGAGGTGCAGGTAGGCCGAGAAAATTGACTGTCGGTGACAGGAGGCGGCTTGGTATTCTTGTTTCTAAGAACAAACGAAGGAGTTTAGAGAACTGAAGGCTGGATATGGTTGATAGAGGGACTGTGGCTGTCTGTAAGGGGACAGTTAGAACTGAGCTGCATGCAAGGGGTTGGCAGAAAAGTCGAGGAATTCCATCACCGATCATGAAACCTGAACAAAAGGAGTGAAGGTTGAACTGGTGCTTACAGCATAGAAATTTTAACTGGGACAATGTGATTTTCTCAGAGGAAAGTTCTGTGTGGCTGTTTCCTAATACACTGAAATTCTGGACCAAACAAACCGAAAAACCTTTGTATCAGCGTCCAAAGTACAGTCCGAAATTTAACGTGTGGGGTGGCATATCTGTGTTAGGGGCAACGCCCCTCTGTGTATTTGAAGGGACTATGAACAGTGAGCGGTACACAGATATTCTCGATGGACATTTACTTCCATCTACTCACTTGTTCTATGGAAATTTTTGGATTTTCCAGCAGGACAACGACCCAAAACATCGTTCAAAGCATTCACAGGCCTGCTTACGGACCCAAAATATAACATTATTAGATTGGCCAAGCTATAGCCCTGACCTAAATCCAATAGAAAATCTTTGGGGACTTATGAAGGAAAGTGTCAATAAGAAAAATCTGACAAATATTGCTGAAAAGAAAGACTGACTGACTGACTGAGTTTGGTTTTACGCCGCTTTTAGCAATATTCCAGCAATATCACGGCGGGGGACACCAGAAATGGGCTTCACTTATTTTACCCATGTGGGGATTCGAACCCGGGTCTTCGGCGTGACGAGCCAACGCTTTAACCACTAGACTACCCCACCGCCCCGCTAGATGAAAGAAGAGGTGGTCCGATATTGGGACAGCATGGAACACGACTTTCTAACTTCTTTGATCAGTAGTATTCCCCGCCGCATTGAAGCCTGCATTGCTGCCCATGGTGACTTGACAAAATACTTCACCTGTCTTTGAATCTGGAGTTATGTTCTGCTAATATTCACATTTAATACGTGAGTAAAGAGTTAAAATTATAGAAAATTTACAATCTGTAAATTCTCAATAATTTCTGGTTGTACTGTAAGATATCGCAAAAAGTATGCACTGGATTTTCTTGATATTTGACACCAAAATTCATCTAGGGAGGGCCCAGGGCCCAGTCAGTTTTGGTGACCTTCACATAATTTTCAGGGTCATGACGACACTTTGAAGATTTCAACATGTTAACCTGAATTGGCAGCAAGATATTTCAAGAACGGTTCATTGGATTTTCTTCATAGACTTTCAAGACTTCCGTTGAATGTTTTTCAATAAGCAAGTCAGTCTTGAAAATATGTGTGTGTTTGAACACCTAAAGAGCAAGATATCAAGAGAGGTTGACTGGTCATGTTTTTGTTGACATTTAACTTAAACTTTCATTACTTTATAATTTTGATTTGATAATTTGTGGCGGGGGATTATGTCACCTTAGTGACACTGCTTGTTGACAATAGCTGTAAACAACAAACACAATACAAAGATGATGACTACTTCAATTCACTATACCACTATTGGGTTCGTGAGAAGGTGGCGCTATGTGAGCTCCGTTAAGGATTGTTCAAGTAAGAAATCATGTAAATAATGAATTCTTGACAAGGCAGCATAGATGTAGATATTATACAGATACACTTGATAACAGAGGATGGGCTCAATATCTACCCATTGGTGATACCCAGAGGTGATGGTGCATCTGTTTACACCGTATATAGATTACGCAAAGAACTTAATTAAGCACCCCCTGTATTTCTGCCATGATTGGTGTTCAACACGTCCGTGATCCCTTTGTTGCACACGACGACCAATCATGTCCCATATATGCTCCAAGGGGTTAAGATCGGGGCTCTGTCAATCGGGAGCTGTGTCAGGGGGTGCCTAATACCATTCCTTGTTTATATATCAGGGGAGACCCAGGATTTGGGAGAAGAGGTGCACATAAATCATGAAGTCCAAAGGTTAGGGGGAAGTGCTCCTCGGGGATTTTTTTCATGGGACAAGACCCCCTTCTGGATCCGCCCCTGTAAATAATTAATTACACCAAGCTCATAGCTTAGCAGCAGTGGCTAGAAATCTACTGCAATGGGACGTTAAAATCATGTTTCTCCCTATCACCAACGATAATGACGTAATGTGAAATAACTTTATTCCCTCTGAAGATCAGAGTCGCATTTTTTTGTTTTAAATATATCCATATACATGTATTTAATGTACATAATTTGAATTGGATAACTAGATCAAACATATTTTTGAAGTGTAACAAAATGAAAATTGAACAATAATGTATTTGCACACTTTCATATTTCACACAATTCTTTCGCTCTAATTCAAAAGCTCTTGGTTTTTCATTACTCCATTATCCAAGTCCACTTTTGATTTGGTTGTCCCGTGCAGTTGGATAACGTTAATCCCTGATGCATTATTAAAGACAAGCAGGTATTTGTTGCCACGTGGAGGAGCGACCGGTCCTACAACAGCAAGGAAGGAGGAGTGAGTGAGTGAATTATGTTTAACAACAAGTCATCAGTACGCCAGCTATATCCAGGGCCGTTGTAATAGCATTATAGGCTCATGGGCAAAACATTACAGTATAGTAGTTATCACAACCTTCCTAGATTATTAGCGTTAGTGACCCGTGAAGATCCGGGTTAGAAGTGGTCCTCATCAACCCATGCTTGTCCTAAGAGGCCACTACTTTGAACCAGGTGGTCAGGCTTGCTGACATGGTTGGCACGTGTCATCGTATCCCAATTGCGTAGATCGATGTTCATGCTGTTGATCACTGGATTGTCTGGTCCAGACTCGATTATTTACAGACCTCCGCCATATAGCTGGACTATTGCTGAGTGCGGTGTTAAACAACAAATCAACCGACCAATCACAAGTCTACAGGAAACGCTCTATGAAAAACGCAAGGTGGTTAAACTTCATTCTTGCAGTATAGGGTGGACCAGAGAGGCTCTCATGTTCAAATCATCGTTGAGTGGATCGGAGTGTCCCACAACACACAAATATTAACATAGGGCCTCAATGTTCGTGCCATCCATTTTGCATAAACCGACACCTGTATGTTTCAAGTTACAAAAGATATTCTGATTGAAACTTAAATGTTGAATGAATGTAATTCAAAAATAGCAAAATGAGTCAGCAATACAACACTCCAAAATATCCCGAATTGTAGATACATGAAGGCATGTCCACGTTTTACCTCTCTGTATCGGAATATCTGGCTGGTGCTGTTGCTGCAGGGAGGTAAAAGAAACTTTCCTTTTTGAAAAGTCAACACAGTTTAGACCCTGCCTGATCTGCCCCGACTTCATGAAGTACCAAATCTGGAAATAGAAGTAAACTTTAATCATATTTTCTGTCAGTGAGATCACCGATTAGCCTTATTTGTGGAGAAGATTGATAAACTAGATACGCGATGTGATTATAGCTCCGACGACTGTAATCCATTACATCACGTGGCAATATCCAGTGATGTAATCCTCCAAAGTTCTTTAAGACTAAAGCATCGTACATATCATCAATATACTCTGCAAATAAAGAAAAGCAAAAGTGGTTTTCAGATGCATAATTTATGTATAATATAAATATTTAATACATCGTTGAGATTTGGCACAAGCCACTGTCCGAGATTCACCATGGCACACAAGGTGTACAATTTGGTGTTTGAGTGCTGGCCACTGGCGCTTACAATCGACTCTAGCGTAAATGGATTTGCCATTATGAAAGCGGAGCTGCACGCTAGATTGCAGTTGTCACACGAAAGACACCGGATCGATTCTCAACAATTTGCTAAGCCCTTTGTTGACTCCCCTAACCATGTAAGTGCGTCAGGGTATACACAGATATATCTGTAACAATCCTTGAAGAACTTACCCGATGTGCTCTATACCAGCATTTCGTCAGGTCCTTGAAGAACTTACCCGATTTGCTCTATTCCAGCATTTCGTCAGGTCCTTGAAGAACTTACCCGATCAGCTCTATACCAGCATTTCGTCAGGTCCTTGAAGAACTTACCCGATCAGCTCTATACCAGCATTTCGTCAGGTCCTTGAAGAACTTACCCGATCAGCTCTATACCAGCATTTCGTCAGGTCCTTGAAGAACTTACCCGATGTGCTCTCTACAAGCATTTCGTCAGGTCGTTGAGGAACTTACCCGATGTGCTCTATACCAGCATTTCGTCAGGTCCTTGAAGAACTTACCCGATGTGCTCTATACCAGCATTTCGTCAGGTCCTTGAAGAACTTACCCGATCTGCTCTATACCAGCATTTCGTCAGGTCCTTGAAGAACGTACCCGATCAGCTCTATACCAGCATTTCGTCAGGTCCTTGAAGAACTTACCCGATGTGCTCTCTACAAGCATTTCTTCAGGTCGTTGAGGAACTTACCCGATGTGCTCTATACCAGCATTTCGTCAGGTCCTTGACGAACTTACCCGATCTGCTCTATACCAGCATTTCGTCAGGTCCTTGAAGAACGTACCCGATCAGCTCTATACCAGCATTTCGTCAGGTCCTTGAAGAACTTACCCGATCTGCTCTATACCAGCATTTCGCCAGGTCCTTGAAGAACTTACCCGATTTGCTCTATACCAGCATTTCGCCAAGAACCAGCCTTCTAAACAACGGTTCTTTAGGACCAGATCTATTTTTAACTGAAACACAATAACAATTTTTTATGAGATAAGATATATATTACAGTCAAATTGTGCAGGGAGGTGGAATTAAGACCTATGCGGGGTGTGGTCCTCAACAGTGCAGCATAGGGTGCGCGGTTTATACCAGAATGGTGAGCAGCGTTTTTGAAAACAAATTTGAAGCCAGTCCCTAATTTAATTAGATTAGAGTTAAGAAATCAAAGTTGAAGCCAGTCCCTAATCCCATCAGATTAGAGTTAAGTAAACAAATTTGAAGCCAATTAAGCAAACAGACAAGAAGTCATGAAAAAGGCTCGAAAGAAGCGACTGAATTACACAATCTGACTAAACAGCTTAGTTATTTTGTGTAACAACATTCAGTATATTGCAGTGATTTCATGAAATGACTGATTTCACAATCTGACTGTAACATATAGTTAACAAATAGTTAAAACTGCTATAAACTAAAGAAAATGCCATTGGACTCCTAGGCAATATCTATAAGACCCAGGATTCAGGCACTGGACGCCGTAAAACTTAAAACATCAGTGGTAAACAAAATTGAATTGAGTATATTTAAATCCTCATTTTGACGTCTTGTTTGTTTAGTTTGTTCTTTCAACTGTATGGTGGCGGTCTGTAAATAACCGAGTATGGACCAGTATGATCAGCAGCAAGCGCATCGATGTACGCAGCATGGATACAATGACATTTGTCACCCATGTCAGCGAGCCTGACCACCCGATCCCGTTTGTCGTCTCTTACGACAAGCATTGGTTGGTGAAGACCTCAGTTACGTATCCAGCTGCCGCAAAAGTAGAGGATTCGCAGTCACTCTCTGAGGGTAACCTCATCTGTTCAGACTTTACATGCTACACTTTCTGTCAAATAATATGTCTTACCATTCCTTTTTTAGAGGCATACTTTGGATTCAAACCACGTGGATAGATATTCTTCATATACCAGTCAAAACTCTTACAATTAAGTTTCTTCTTGAGTTGCAACCTCTCTCGTATATCTCCTACATCAATTTGCTGCAATAAAAGGAGTGAGTGAGTCGGATGGGTTTCACGCTGATATGAATAGTTTCACGTATTACGCAGGGTGTAGGAAATCTGGCCATGACAGTTGCATGGCACTCTTTTTTCCACGAGACTGTGTGTCACACACTGTATTCATGAGGGGAATCTTGCCATGCCAGTAGCGTGGCACTTTATGTTCCACGAGACTGTGTGTCATACACTGTATTCATGATAGTGGAGCGGCTAAGATAAATTTTTCATAAGAATTGTGCATTTGATGATAAAAGCACCAAAATTGGTCATCATATAAAAGAACATTTCCGAAATACTTTCAGGTATGGAGGCACCTCAAATTTTGTATTTTGTGCGCATGCGCAGTATATAAACTTTGACATACTATTTTCAGCGTTTCCCCTTCGATCTTTAGTATTGCGTTTCATAACACACCTATAATTTTCATAAATAGTGATTTACAGGTTCATGAAAAGACAAGAAATACATAATTTTAGAATAATACAAAACATTTTGAAACAATTAACACTCCCTCTTCCAAAAATGGCGGCTAGCAGACAGTTTTCTGGACTATTGAACTCTTTGAGAAAATGTGTGCATGATTTATCTGATTACAATTGACTGAAAATGAGCATAATAAATGACAAAAGAATAAAAAACACAATAAACAAAAGTCTTGGATATGTTTAACAATCAATATCTATGTGATTATTCCCCAACTTCATGGCTCAAGGGCAAACAAGGGACATACTTCACATTGTCTTTCGCAAGGGAGCATTCATATTTTCCGGTACAAATCATACTTAATTGGTTTTTTTGTTTAATGGTAAATATCAATTGATTAAGTGCAAACACTTATCCTGACTCATGCTAATTGCTGATCTCATCTCATTTGCGCATAGTAGTGGAAAATCAACCGCTTGTCTTCCCCTTCAATAGAAAAAAACACATCTCACCCCAACACATTCCAAGCTGCGTATGTGCAGTGGATGCACGTTACCAAGCCTGTGACTCTTCATTCTCCCATATTAGTGCCAACAGGGTCAGACTCACATCAAAAAGGGCCAACATCAATCTACGATGATAAAAAATAACTGCTAACTTGGATTGCGGTCGGGTTACCCATAGCTTCCCCATCGAAGGATCGTCCTCCACCTTACCACCAACTGGATCAACTTCAAGAACCAATTTAGCTACCCGAATGCAGGGTCTTCCCGGCTTGATCAGCTTGATACTATTATCAGACGAGTCTTCCTGGGCCTCGCCATGTCCAGATCCACCAACAAGGCGACGATATCACACTTCAAAGATCCACAGTCCGACAAAGAACATATACTTTTGTCCATGGTCACCCAGCAGAAGTACCAAGAGTCTGTCTCCGTCCAGATATGCTCAGCATCGGCGGGACTCACCTTACTACGTAGACAAGGCAGTATTGGCCAAAGTGGGACCTTCTGGAAGACACATTCATCTTAAAAATCTTAAGGAATCTATATGCCATCCCAGTGAACACAACGCCACCGCTCCACTCTATCTTCCGCAGATACATTACGTAGAAACCCTACATTCCAAACTCACAGATGCGATAGAGTCACTTCTATCCAAAGAAGCAATAGAAGTTATACCTTAAGAGGCACTCGACCCAGGGTTCTGCTCCCCAATTTTCTTGGTTCCCAAGAACAATTGATGAGAAAAGTCCAGATTAAGAAGTTCAATAATGATTACTTATTGAAGACAGAGAAGTTCAGAATTCTCCACCTTCTACAGCTGAAGCAGATGATAAGACAGAACAACTTTCTGCAAAGCACAGATATAAGGGATGCCTATCTGCATATGCCAATCCAACCAGGGTCCAGGAAGTATCTACGATTCCTGTTCAACCATAAAAAATACCAATGGAGGGTTCTACAGTTTGGCAATTTCATAGCCCGTGCTTATTCACATGCGTAACCAAGCCTATCGTGAGCTTCCTGCACAACAGGGTAATTTGATGCACCTTCTGTCTAGACACCGGCATTAAAGCACTTCAACAAGCAGTTATACTCAAACGTCAGTTGAATTACACCCTACGATTGCTGCCCAACGTCACCCCAATGACTCATGAAGAGTGACAGACTGCAACCATGACCCATCCAGAGGTTTCTAGCCTGACTGCTGGTTCGACAGGACTTCAGACCACAACTTCCACATCACCTACTACAGTATCACCAAAGGTGGGCGATGAAATCAAAGGTCTGCACAAGAACCTTCTGGGCGAGCCAAGCTTCAACCTGCATCTGTATGTAGATGCGTCTCTACAGGGTTGGGGAGCACGCCAAGACACAGATGTAACCCCAGGCCTGTGGTCTCCAGAAGAGAAGCTACTTCACATCAATCACTGAGGTTAGGCAGTTATCCGAGCCATTAGCCACTGGGCCCCTCGACTGTCTAATCAGTCATTTATCACCAGGACAGCTAACTCATCCAGCTAGCAGGCAATCCGGTTCTAAAACTTCAAGATTGGTCAAACCTTCTCACTTATCCTCACATGAGGTAGAAGCATCAGAACCCGAGTGTCTTCGATCTGCACGCATGGAGCATATCAAGAAGAACTTGACCAGGCGCGGCTATTCCAGCACAGCAGAAGTCTCCCGGTCTCTATGCAGATCTACCAGAAGCCTGTATGATGATATGTGGAAGAGTCTTGACCAATTTGACAGACGTAAGGGGATTCCAGCAGTTATATAACCTCAGAACCTCAAAGAATCTCAAGACTGATGCTGCTTTGGGTGAATGCTGTAGACATGGTCTGTTTATTGATGATCATAAACGATGTATTACATTTTGGTTAAAATCGTTAGCAATGCCAACTGTTAGATATCCAAAACAATGTTATTTATTATGTAAATCATTAGATGAATGTAATCGTATAACTCGGGCATCAAAGGTTAAACACTTACTATTTAGTTATGGCTTTGGTTTAGTGTGGATCACGCATGAAGTGGGTGATAAAAACATGTTTCTTAATACTTTTGTACAAAGACTTAAAGACCGCAAACAAAATTGGTACTCTAAATTTTGTGATTCAAGTAAATTATGTAATTATAAAGAATACAAATCTCTTTTGTCAATTTAATATTATTTGTGTGCTATCCCAGAAAGAGAATACAGAAGACTTTTATGTTTATTACGAATGTGTGAGCTCCCTTTAATGGTTAATATTGGCAGACGGTGTGGCATTCCCCGCAGTAATAGAATATGTACATTTTGTGCGTTAGGTTGTGTAGAAGATGAATATCACTTCCTTCTAAAATGTCCATTGTATGACTATCTCAGATCAAAATATATACCAAGATATTATTGTAATTCACGATGTTTAAGTTTAAAAGTCTTTTAACATGTACATGTAATGAGATAAATATTTTGTTAAATGTTGCAAAGTTTATTAAGGAAGCTCTATTTCTCAGAAATTCCCATCTGTCATTGTAATGATTATTTTTGTATTATGTTGTACATGGGCCGTTGGCCTTTATACCGAATAAAAGAATTGAATTGAATCAGCTCTGTCATCACCATGGTGAAGGCTCCAAACTCACTCAGATGTCAGAGTTCCACTCTATAGACGTCAGTGTCACCAGATTTGATACAGGTCCCAATGCATCAGTGCATCCATTTGGATTATATTACCAGTCCAACTATTATCTTCAATATTTGGCAGTGAAGATAAGGAAGACTTATCACTGCGTCTGGTCAGAGTCCCACGCATCTATCTACGTAGAACGAGCACCAGGCGTCAGAAGTTAAGACGAATCTTCATCCCGCTCATGAGAGATGTCACAGCAGAAGTATCCAAAACACTATATCCTTCAGGATGAGATCGGTGATACTTCGAGCACACAGAGATGTAGGCTTAGAACCTCCCTCAGCTTCCAACCCACACGAAGTAAGAGCACTATATGGCAATTGCTTTTTCCCTACCATCGTGGAAGGATGCTTTGGGAATATTTTTCTTTTTATGTTCAATCACTTTTATTTGAGATTATTTGCGAAGAAAAACTCAATTCATGCCATCCCATCAACACATGCAGCTGTTATGTTGTACAGCATGTCAAAAGGGCATCTTACCAGGCAGGTCATGTGTGGGGTCAGTCATTCTTCCACAGCCTGAACTCCCATCTCCAAGTGAGTGGGGTTAGTTACAGAAGGAAAGTGGACAGTATGTTCCCTACTGGACGACACTACACCAGAATCTTGCCAGGAGTTGGTATCTTGTCTGTACAAAGGGGTGTAACAACCGATGCAAGTGCAAACAGTCCTCACTTACATGCACTGGTGCGAGAGGCAGTGTTTGACTTAGCTATGTTTTCAAGATGTTTAACCAGTATTTAGGGTCAGTATTTTTATTAAAAGTTATCCCATTAGTGTACTGATTGCCGGCCCAAAGCTATAACGGGAGCCAAAAAAAGGCAAAATATTATTTATCTACTGCTCATGCGCAAATTAAATTATTTTGAGTGCCTCCATATCTTAAAATGTTCACTATGCATCAGTCTATAAATGTGCAAAGTTTCATGCTTTTATCATTAAATGCACATTTTATCTGCTAAGCCGCTCCACTATGAGGGGAATCTTGCCATGACAGTTTGAGCATCAGACATTATGTTCATGCTTGCCATCACAGTGCTTGACACTTTATATTCCGCGAGACTGTTTGCCACATGTTGTATTCATGAGGGGAATCTAGCCATGACAGCAGCGTGGCACTTCATATTCCACGAGACTGTGTGCCACACACTGTATTCATGAGGGGAATGGAGCGAGCATCAGACATTACATCAATTGAACCTACGCCCGGAATAGGTACGATCAAAACACGCCAAAAAAATGGTAGTGATGTTGTAATTCTTTAACAGGCGATCACCGTGACATTAAAATAGGTTCCTGTTAAGTCACTGAGAAACATAAAGGTACATGTAAACGTTGTTACACTGAAACGAATTACAAAAAAGATATTTGCAAAATTGCAGTCCCAAAAGTTGATAGACTACACTGGAGTGAG